CTTAACTGGTCCCACTGTCTTTTAATCTGTCCTGATCACTGTCACCAAGGGGCACCGGTCTAACTGGAAAACACTTCATTGACTCAGCGGCCTGTAGGAGAAAATTAAAGTCTTTAGTCTTGGGTGCCTGGGTGGCTCAGTGGTTGAGCGTCTGCCTTTGGCTCAGGGCGTGATCCCGGGGTCCTGGGATCGAGTCCCACATGGGGCTCCCTTCTCCCTCTGCCTATGTCTCTGCCTGTCTCTCTGTGAATAAATAAATAGAATCTTTTTTTTAATTATTTATTTTTTAAAAATAAATTATTTATTTATTCATGAGAGACACAGAGAGTAAATAAATAAAATTCTCTGTGAATAAATAAATAGAATCTTTTTTTTAAAAGATTCTATTTATTTATTCATGAGAGACACACAGTGAGAGAGGCGGAGACATAGGCAGAGGGAGAAGGGAGCCCGATGTGGGACTCAATCCAGCATCCTGGGATCATGCCCTGGGCCAAAGGCAGACACCCAACCGCTCTGAGACACCCAGGTGTCTCAAATAAATAGAATCTTAAAAAAAAAAAAAAGCCTTTAGTCTTGCAGACTAAGGCCCTCTCTGATCTGCCCTCTCCCTCCCACACCAGCCTCATCTACACTCCCTATCCGTACATTTGGCTCCCTTTTCCGCCACTGCTCTCATGGAGTTTGGCATGTGGTCCAGCAAGTCACCTTCAGCTGGAGAGAGAGGTGAATAGATTTTCTTCTCTGCCTACTCTTCATGGTGATGTGCGTTCTTTCGTAGGGAAAATGTGAAACTTGATACATGTATTATGGATTCAGGCATTAGAAGATATCTGAAATTAGAATTTAGAATTTGAATTAGAAGATATTTATTTCGTTCATCTGTTAGATGAATACATCTCTTCTCTGGCACCTCTAACTACTCGTTAAGCTCAGTTAACTGCTAGGACAGTGAGCTCATTACCTCTGCCAACGAACTATGTAATTTCCAGAAAACCATGATAAATTTGTGCAAAAGTTTTTATTTATTGCTTTTACCTACCGATGCTAGCCCTTGACCTTGGTTTCTGATGGAAGAAGTCCGATCCTTCTTTATTGTGATAATCCTTCATATATCCAGAGACAACTGCACTCTCTTCCTCTTCTCTTCTCCCTGGTAACATCCCCAATTAGATCAAATTTTCCTCTTATCTCAGGTGTCAATTCTGGGTGTCAGGGTGTCAATTCTCTCTGCCTTTTTGGGGACTCCCTTTTGCTGGCTGCAGGTTGTCTGTGAATTCCTGTGTTTGCCACCTTGTCCATGGCAGAGAACTATTCAGTCTGGCTTTCCTGGCTCATCAGCCTGGGGTGCTTTCCAGAAACATTACTTTGTCAACACGTATCGACATATCCGCGAAAGTCATCCCTTATTTCTCCTGAAGGGCAGCAACCATGTCTTCCTAGCATCCGTTCTGTTGCATGTTGGTTGAAAGTTGAAATCGTAAATTCATAACTTGTACAATTATGTTTTTGACTTAATTTTATCTCCATTGAATTTCATCTTGTTAGAGAATTTTGTCAGGATTTCGCGAATCCTGATTCTCATCATGTAATACATCCAATATTCCCCCCAACCTCCAGCTTTTTGCCAATGTAAGTTTATGCTGTCGATGCAATTAAAATAGGAGTGAGGAGGTTCCTGTGAGAATCAGCTGAAATAATAGAATTCCCTGACATTGTGACTGGGTTGCAGAAGGTTCTCAGCAAAGGCCGGATCCTTTGCTGCTCTGTCCCGTGCCTTTCCTGACTCTCCTGTCACCAGGATGCAGGTGTGCTGTAACTCTCACAGGTCCTGGTCCTTCATTACTTAACTTAGAAGAGAGGGCAGCGGCACCTGCTTCTCCCTCTCTCCTTGCCTCTCCCTCAGCTTGTGTTCTCTCTCTCAAATAAATAAAAATTAAAAAAAAAAAAGGAGAGAGTGTGGGCTTATTGTGTCATCCAATTACAATTCTTTCTTGACACCTAGGAGCAGTTTTTTGGGTCGTTTTTTTCTACTTTAATTATACTGTACAATTTCTAGAAATGTGAAATGCAAGGTGTTGTGATTTAAAATTTAAATAATAGACTTTCAGCAAAGGGTTTGTGAAAAATCCTCTTCGCAGTCATAGATATACACCTTGGAAGATATGTCTTTCTTTCTTTCTTTCTTTCTTTCTTTCTTTCTTTCTTTCTTTCTTTCTTTCTTTCTTCTTCTTTCTTTCAAGATTTCACTTATTTGAGATAGAACAGGCTGAGAGAGACAGAGAGAGAGAGAGCACATGTATGCTCTAGGGAGGTGGGGGCAGAGGCAGAGGGAGAAGCAGACTCCCCGCTGAGCAGGGAGCCTGATGCTGGGCTCCATCCCAGGACCCTGGGATCATGACTGAGCCGAAGGCAGAAGCCACTGCTGAGCCACTTGGGTGCACTGGAAGGTAGGTTTTTCCTAGAGTATGGTGGCCTTCAGGAATCTCGGATGAGAAATGAGAATGACAAGATCCCATTTGCTTCCCACAAGAAGGAACAGGCTATCTGTGGGTGGGGACAGGGGTACCAGACTTCCAAAAGGGGATTTTCCAGAGCGTCTCCAGTAAGCCACTTACTGTGTCCTATTTCCTCAGCCATCATAGAATAAGAAGCAGCTGGGAGTGTTGGGAGGATGCAAGAGGTAACATGAATCACATCCTGCGGTTTCAGGCTTGTAGGGGAGACTCCCTGGACATCTGTCTCTTTTCTCCCACTTCTGAGACCAGAGCACCTTTGTACTGCAGGGAAAGAGGTGGGGCTGAGGTTCTGTGTTCAGAAGACTTTGAAACCCTTTCTTGGCTTTTGTGAACCGCTGCCATCAGACGACGTGTTGGCACTTCTCAAAGACTCACCAGCTCTCAAGTAGTCAAACATTTATGAAATTAGTCAATTTTATGAATTAGGGGGAAAAGGTCACATAGTTTAATCCTGGGTACCTTCCCCCATTACTCTTGGTGTTTATGTGTGGCACAAGAGGTCCTTTGGGAGGCCTAGCTTTAAAATGAAAAATTTTTTAAAAAGGTAGATGGAATGAAGAAGCAATCAAGCAACATTTTCTTTCTTAAAGTTATTTTTACTTTTGAACAAAAAATATGGGAGTGGTTGGGAGGAGATCTTGTAACAAGGCCAAGAATCCCTAAGTCATTGAATTTCCTTCTCCGGCAAGTGTGGCCAGTGTGATTTTGCTTTGCCTGCTCTCTCTTGCAACAACTGGCAACAACAAAAATAATAGTAATGATAGCTTGCATTTGCAAAACACTTCTAAGTTGTAACTGCTGTTACAGTTTTTCAAAAGTTAAAGACAACATTTTCATATAAATAATTTTCAATCCATTAAGGCGGTGTTTATGGAGTTTTAAAATTCTCAAATGACGTGGTGTTTGAGGTACTAGATGTGGAACTACTGAGGTGAGAAGCCAGTTTGGCTCTCAGGATCCCTCTGCTCTGTGCCCAAGTAACTTTTTTTTTTTTAAGATTTTATGTACTTCTTCATGAGAGATACAGAGAGAGAGGCAGAGACACAGGCAGAGGGAGAAGCAGACTCCATGCAGGGACCCCGATGTGGGACTTGATCCCAGGACCCTGGGATCACAACCTGAACCAAAGGCAGACGCTCAACCACTGAGCCACCCAGGTGCCCCCCACCCCAAGTCACTTTCTGCGGTCTCTCTTAGGAACTGCTTCTCTCAATATCCCATCCTGAGCTCTAGGAAGACAGAACAACTCCTGCTCAACCTTATGATATATAATGATTTTTCCAGGGATCTCTGCTGAGGCTACTCCTTCGGCTGGAATGCAATCTGCCACATTCCTGTCTGCTAATATTTCCGGTGCAGTTTGAATGAGCTCCACAGAGCATTCCCTAAGAACCTCAGCTCTAAGGGATATTGTTTTTTTTTTTTTAAATTTTTTTTAAAATTTTTATTTATTTACGATAGTCACACACACACACACACAGAGAGAGAGGGAGAGACACAGGCAGAGGGAGAAGCAGGCTCCATGCACCGGGAGCCCGACGTGGGGTTCGATCCGGGTCTCCAGGATCGTGCCCTGGGCCAAAGGCAGGCGCCAAACCGCTGCGCCACCCAGGGATCCCTCTAAGGGATATTGTTAATAATACTTTGTAACCCCTCATGTTGCCTATTACACCTTGCCTCTGATTTGTTATTCGGGAACCTGCCTCATTGACCCCATTAGACTCTTAGTTTCTCAAGATTAAGTGTTGGGACCTTGTTGTATTTATCGTGATGTTTCTGGGGACTAGTGCTTAGCAAGAGGCTTTGCGCATTTGAGGGCATCTTTGTGCATTTAGTGGGATGAAGGGCATATTGGAAGGTGGTGGGGGAGAAGGTGCTATGTGCCTGGTTCCAGCAATTCTTTTTTTTTTTTTAAGATTTTATTTATTTATTCATGAGAGACACACAGAGAGAGGCATAGACACAAGGCAGAGGGAGAAGCAGGCTCCCTGCGGGGACCCCAATGCGGGATTCAATCCCGGAACTCCAGGATCAAACCCAGGTGTCCCAGCTCCAGCAATTCTATCAAGTAGGCTAATACCATCCCTATCAAGTAGGCTAATTCTTTGGTGGGATATCTTTGGTTCACTGTGTAACAAACAACTGCATACCTGTTCTGCATCAAGCATTGTGCCAGATGCTTTGGACAAGAAGACAGGACAGACCTTTGGCCTTTAAGTCACGTATAGCCTACTGGGGGAAATGGACGGATATGTATAGGTCGATAAATGCAATGTAGCATTACATTGCTCAGCCTGGGAATGCAGAGCTGTGGTTAAAATCCCAGTCTGATCAACCCCAAGCCACTGAGCCAAGATGCTTCCAGAACAGAAAAACTAGCTATGCTGAGTGATGTCTCCTCAGAAGAGCAGAACAGTCTTGCTTTGCCTGTTATTTGCAAGTATTTTTAAATCAACCCATTTTGTCTTATTTCCAAACCAGGTCCTTCAGAAGCTTGGCAAAGCTGATGAGACGAAAGACGAACAGTTTGAAGAATATGTCCAGAACTTCAAACGGCAAGAGGTAAGTCCAGTTAACTAGTTTGGGCCTCAATTTAATTGTCAAAGAGAGATACTCATCAAGAATGGCTTAGGGGGTTGGAAGGAAGGGGAAGTGGGTTGACAGTGTTTGGGTTTTAATGTAACCACAGTGCGTTAAGGTTGAAGAAGGAATTTTCTTTGGGGTTGGCGTTAACCTGAGGGTGACACTTGCTAATTCTGTAGGCGTTCTTGTGGGAGGTGAAGGAAGAAGCGGTAGGCACTGTGGGAAGAAGACTGGCGTTTTAGACTCTCAGGAGATTAAGACTTTGCTTGTCTGGACCTCTTCAGTACAAATTATTGATCTAAAGGAAAGCTGCTGTTTTGGGTGATTTATGGCCTTAGTATAATAGAGTATAGGGAAACAGTAGTCAGATACTTCTGGCACTATAATTTTAAATTTGCATGCTTCAAAATCATGCATTCTTAACAGGGATTATATCTCCCCCAAGAGGGTGAAAATTGGTTCTTTGTGGGCAAAATGTACTCTTTTTATGTATCTACATCATATAAATATATAGTATATCAATGGTATTAAAATTTCATGAGGGTATGTGATGAGGAAAAAAAATGTCTAAAAAGTAAGAGAAGTGCTAATATGGACCAAGGTTGAGGAACATGGTTTGTAATGTTTGTTCTTTTGATGGGCTGCTGTGTGATCAACAGACACATGCGTAAAGAAACTCTTTTAAAAAATCATCTGTTTGTATCTTCAAGGCTTGGAGAATTGGCCAGAATATCACTCCTTGGAGAGTGTGCATAAGGGTCAAGGTAGGGGAGGGTCCAGGTGGGGCTCTCTGAGGTTAGAAGCCTCTTATCTGGAGGTCATACGAGAGGTGAAGTGGGAAGAGCGCTGGGATGGTAGACTTTGGCAAATGGGATTTGGACTGGGTGATGATACATGAGGGCATGGATTTATTTTCCTGGTGTCATTGGAGCTACCAGCATCCACAGGATATTGTGGCCTTGGGGATGACAATCAGTAATGTCAGCTTATCACAGGTTTCATTTTGCTGCCTTTGCGCATTTGCAGATCTCAAATCCCAGACATTGCTTTCTTCCATATGTGTGCCACAGCTCCCACTATTTGTCTCACTGCAGATATGCTATTTCTTTCCCTCACCAACATGGGTAATAAAATCCAACAGGTATGAAGCCAGGTATCCAAGTCTCTACCAGAACATATTCCTGAATACCTCCCATTTCATCCCAAGACTAGGAGTAGACATGTGCAGATGGGTCCCCAATTTATTCTACGAGTGGTAGCAGTCTTATTCTGTCTGAAAATGAGGAAGGAGAGAAGAGAGTTGGAGAAGAAAACAGTGACAGAAATAGATCGTGTCCAGGTAACAGTATTATGGAGAGCTTTGGATTAATGAAGGTAGAAGAGAGAACTTCTAGAAAAGTGTCAGATCCAGGCCCATAGGCTGACTATGTTGTCCTCGGGTCTCCTCCAGGAGGACAGATTCTCTATGTCCCTCATGTTCTCATTCCCTGAGTTCTCGTACATTCTCTTATGCGTTTGGATAACTCTCATAGAGATCACTGTCTGGATTGCAGCAGCTTCACCCAGGACAACTTGCCAGTCAGTACCCTGTTACTCTGCAGGGCAATCCCAAATATCTGCTCTAAGGGGTTGGAGTTAGATAGCAGTGATTCAGGTTTGTAGTTTTACCTGCTTGAGGATTTATACTCTACCCATTGAAACCTCGTCTTCCTGTCTGGTATGTCCCTGTGGAGCTAATTAGATCTTTGCTCTTGGATTTATTTTTCCTGTGCCACTTTTATGGTGTTTTGGTGCTGTTAGCACCCCAGAAGGCTAACCTTGGGAAGCATCGAGTTTAGGAAAGCATCTATGACGAGGAAGCACTTTGCATTTTCCAATTCTTATTGGTTTTTTGTTTTTTTTTTGGACTTCGTTGACTGAACCTGGTGAGAATTCTTTTTTTTTTTTTTTTTGTCTAAGTACTAAAGAAAAGTACGAGAAGTTAAATCATCAGTTTCCTCAGTTAAGTGACCTGTGCCACTAGCAGCAGCAGCGTGGGGTGACTTTATAATGCTGCTATGCCATCCACTACTGTCACTATCTATACAGTTTCAAGTGTTCAAGTTATAGAGCAAATCATATACTATCATTCTTGAAGACCCAACATCTTATCTTGGTCCTTATCAAGAATATTAGCAGATTGCAAGAACTGGGTAAAACTTCAAAATCTGGGGAAGTTTGAACAAGCATTTTATAAGAGTGAAACAAGTAGAATAGAAATGTAGAAATAGTATTTTTCAAAGAGTATCTTGACCCCCGCTTTGGCTCCCTTTTAAGCATTTTTGCATCAAAAACATCTTGCATTTGCATATACTCATTCTGATGTTTTTCTGTTTGTTTCTTTTTTTAAAAAAAGATTTTATTTATTAGAGAGAGAGATTGTGAGAGAGAGCAGGCACATGCGGGGGAGGGGCAGAAACGAAACAGAGGGGGAAGCAGACTGCCTGCTGAGCAAGGAGCCTGATGTGGGCTCCATCCCAGGACCCTGGGATCATGACCTGAGGGCAGATGCTTAACCAGCTGAGCCACCCCTCGTTTATTTCTTTTAATCAGAAACAATAAATTTATATTCATGTTAATACAATAAGGAGGTTTGGTACCTTAACCCTGTGTGTGTAGTAGACAGAGAGAAGGAGAAAAGGAATGGTTGGGAGGTAGGTAGGAGAGAGATTTATCAATTTTCTGTAGAAACATATTAATGGGGATCCCTGGGTGGCGCAGCGGTTTGGCGCCTGCCTTTGGCCCAGGGCGCGATCCTGGAGATCCGGGATCGAATCCCACGTCGGGCTCCTGGCATGGAGCCTGCTTCTCCCTCTGCCTGTGCCTCGCCTCTCTCTCTCTCTCTGTGACTATCATAAAATAAATAAAAAATTAAAAAAAAGAAACATATTAATGGTTGAGATGAATGGTGAAGGCTGAATGTATTAATACTCTGCAGGCGGGAAAAGATATACTTTTAAGCCTCAGTATGTATTGGTAACCGATTCACATCTGTTTCAGATGCTGAGAAAGGTGTTTCTACATATTTGGCAATATTAACCTAGAAAGAAAGATCTACTAAGATTGTGGTGACCTCTATGGGTCCCATAGCTTTTAGTGTTAATGTAATGGTGAATCGTTACTCTAAAGGCAGAAGGTGTCATCTACAGGCGATTCTAAAGATTTTATCTGACCCAGGAAATCTAGATTTCTTATTTTTTTCTGTGATGACATATTTTTCAAATCCAAAACGATACTATGTAGAGTATAAAATATATATAATAAAATATATATATACATATAAATATAATATTTGGATTTGTGCCTTATATTATAGTCACCTGATCATGCTCAAGTAGTACTTAATCCAAAGTAGATGGTTCTAGAATATTCTAGAAAGTATTCAAGCATCTTGCGTCCTCGTGATGTTGCTTTTAAATTCCTTTTAGTAAAATCATGAATGTCCTCCTAGTGATTGACATATGCCCTGTTCATTTCAGGTTGGAAGCAAAGATGGCAGCAGGTTCTGTGTTTGAACTCTCGCTTGAAGTTTAGCTTTCATCTTATTCCAACTCCAGGTTTTCTTTCTGATCCCAAACTTCTTTTCCTAAGAGGTGGTTTTTGTTAGACTCAGAGCGTGGATGAAGGATTTGTGTGCACTCTCTCGATTGTCCTATTGGGCTCCCCGTTGCTGCGGTTTTGTGGTCTAGATTTCGTAAACTACTCAACTGGGACAAGGAGGAAGGGGAGAGTAGGGCAGAGCAAAAAGAAATAGAGTGAACTCTGCTGCCAAATACTCAGATTTTCCATGGTGACAAATGCCAAAGAGAGCAAGGATTATAGATATCCATCCAGTAGGAGCAACAAAGTCTGACTCCGACATGTCCTCCCCAAAGTGTTGTGTTTTTTTGCCCCTTTTAATTTTGCCTGTCTTACCGGAGCCACCAACAAGTAGCAGAATTGATGGTGTGAACATTGCCTTATTTCACCTGGTAGCTGGGTAACGAACCTGTTAATGAGCAGAGGAAAGGTCCCAAAGGGGAAGGAAGGTCCATGGCCTCTCTTCCTCCTTCTTGCTAATGAACCTGCCCATTAAGATGCTGTGCTTGTGGCAAACATGCTGATTATAACAACTGAATAGCTCGGGCTGTTTGGGCCCAGATAACCAACTATTTGGTCACATATCCATGAGTACAGCTGTGAGCACCCACCTCGACTTACAATCCAAGAACACTACTTGGAATAAAGGGGAGGTGTGTCTCACCGCTCAGAGCTGTAGCTTTTCCTTCCTATTTAAACACCATGGCAGTGTGGTTCTGCTGTCTCTCTCTATGCCCAGCAGCCAGGAGCAGCCTCGCTTCAGTGTAATACAAGCGAAGAAGAAAGGAAATGTTTGAACCTTGAAGTCCTCTCCAGTGGTGAGAATTTGGAGCCAGTTCTTCCAATTGTTAGGATCATCCAGTGACCGAAAACTGGAGTCATGTCTTCTCCTTCCTGATCTCTCTGCAGCACAGGGATCCCATGTGATGCTTTTCATCTTTGTGTGTCCATAGGATCTAGTGCTTTGTACAAAAGCTTTAAAAATACTTGTCAGACTTGAAACCAAACCTGGTGGTGGAAATGATCAATTAAAATTTTTTTATAAGGGGGCATCTGGATGGCTCAGTTGATTAAGCATCTGCTTTCAGCTCAGGTCACAATCCCAGGGTGCTGGAATCGAGCCCTGCCGTGGGACTCTGCTCAGCGGGGAGTCTGCTTCTCCCTCTCTACCTCCCCCCCACCGCTTGGGCTCTCTTTTGTTCTCTGTTCCCTCTCACTCAAGCAAATAAGTCTTTAAGAAAAATGAATGAAAAAAATTTTTATAAAGATTTTTTTTTGGGGGGGGGGGATAGAGTGTAAACATGAGTTTGGGCAGGGAAGGGGTGGTCAGAGGCAGAAAGAGGAGCAGACTGCCTGCTGAG